AGAGAATATATTCTTTTCGATTTTTCTTTGTTATGTCATATAACACCCATCTCTCTCTCTCTCTCTCTCTCTCTCTCTCTCTCTCTCTCACTGCCATTTTCTCGAGCTCATAAATATATTATCTTTCCTTTTCCTGTGTTGTTAGAGTCACATCCGTTTAACTTCAATTTAATGTTAATTATTACAGAATATTTTACAACACAGATGTTTATTATTTTACATTTTTAGATTTATTAAACGTAATTCTCCCGAAACATAAATTAAGATATACCTTTAATTAACATTATATATATATATATATTGTTATACAATGATTTTATATTACTGACATATATTTCAGCGATAACGTTTCGCAAACATATCGTACCGCGAGGATGCATGATCGAAATACTGTTATTGAGAAAATACAATATTGTTAACTGTGAAGAACGGGGCAGTTTGTTTATGATGTAATTCCATCTGATGCACAACTGTGAATTTATAATCAATAATTTATACATGCATTAATGTATACATTATTTCGTGCTGTTTTTATTATTCCTTCTACATATGCATAAAAATCAAAAATATATCCAAAGCAAAACAAATCATATTGAAATGACGTTACAATAAATCATAACTGAAAAATAAATTTTAATAATGACATTAATTTTGATGTCACGATGACTTGTTCCGCTTGGTATTGTAAACGAAATTATTTATTATATCGTAAAAAATGAAAGAAAAATACAATGACTGATATACGAAAGGAAAATGAAATCAATTCTAACGTATTTCGTATGCCATATGTTAGCAACGTAGCAAACATAGCAAACATAATACTGATCGCTACAACATATCTCATTACAATATATTTAAGATAATTATAGAATCGTCGTCGGTTAAGCACGATCAGGACATTTGATCTCTAGATAGCGTGACACGCGCGAGTGCATTACAACAAACGTATCGTTTTTATGCTTCTGTTTACTTCATTTTTATTCATATGACCCATCGCCGATGAAACGACGACGCGGCGACGCGACGCGACGTATGTATAACATATACATAGATATATATACACGGGATAGGCGAGGAGGCGAGCAAGAATCGTTGGCGCATACGCGTGGTGCGCGTGGTGCGCACGGCACGGGCCGAGAGCCGAGAGCCGAGAACCGTTTATCGCCTCGACCGATAACTCGGCGAGTTGGCCGCCAGGCGGCGCCTCGCACCTCCGCAGCTTCGCCTCTATTGGCTGGCAGCCGGGTCACGTGGCACGACCGCGGGACGCGCCCGCAGCGCCAAGCGCATTTGGCGGGCTCGTCGCGTTTAGACGGCGTCGTTCGTGGCTGCTCGTAAGTCTTTCGTGCTGTGTGAAGTGTCGAATATCCACGTCGCGCAATGGTGAGTATCCGCGAGTTTTTGACGCGCACGACGGCCATCCGTGCCTACTGTCGGCGTCCCCGCACGCCGCGGATCCTCCTCCATCGACTGGCGGAGTTTCGCGGCTGGATCTTGCGAATTAACCTGTGATTTTCGTCTCTGAACAGGCTGGCGGTAAGGCGGGCAAGGACTCTGGCAAGGCAAAGGCGAAGGCGGTCTCGCGTTCGGCTAGGGCCGGCCTGCAGGTGAGTCGTGTGAAACGTTTCGACGCGGCTAACATACGTCGGCGGAGGATTGATTTCTCGGACAATAACGCGTGTTTTCCCCGATGGCATCTCGTTCCGGACCTCCTCGCATTCTCCATCTCGTGCGCTCTCGCGGCTTTGCAGGTTAAATCATCATGGTTGTGGCGCGAAAAGTCCGGCCGACTCTCGACAGTCTCGACACCGCGGCCGGCGAAGTGATTTTCCACGGCACATCGCGTGTCCGGACACATCGTTACGGACGCGTCGCGATGCTGCGTACTTCGCTCTATTCACGCTACACCAGACCTTTGAGAAACGTTCCCGTGGAACGGTTTATTTTTCGAATTTCGCATGTCGTACATTGATAATTTTCAAACGTGACCGACCGGCTTTCCTCGCGTTCCGGGTCGTCCCTTCCTCTCTCTTTCTCTCTCTCTCTCACTGCCCGGGATCGTTTCGGCGGGATTATTTAGCTCTGTGGCGAGCCCGGCAACCCGCTGTAAATCGAGAATCAATTTTGCCGCGAATCACAGCGGTCGTCCCGACTTTGTGCGGACTGGTGTGGACGAGCCCCCGAACGATCCAACTCAATGATACAAGCCGAAAGCGTAGTTTCGCTGTTTGTTGTTACCCCGTCCGTCCGTCCCTGAGCGATCGTCTCGCGACCGACGCGACGATTGTCATCGATACTCGCGCGGCCGAGCTTGTTTTTATCATATTTACGTTCGTCGCGACCGCGCGGTTGTCCATCGATCGTGCGTGCCGTCGCGTTTATTCGCCGACTTAAGCTCCCCGTCGCGTCGACGGGACACGGAAATAGGATTCCTATTCATCGGACGGCCGATCGAGGAGGCGCGAGAATTGCGAATTTGAATCGCCGATATTCACTTCTTATGTTTAAGATGGTCTTATTATTGGCTGTCTATGGGAAGAATATTGTGTAGTGAGCATTAAACTTTTAAGAAATTGACCAATCATAATCGATTCTAATTTTTTATTGTGATTATTCGATTTCTTACTGTTATAATTTACTACATCATATTATTACCAGTAGGTCTGTTCATGTTGCTTGAAATTCCCCAAAATTTGTTTCACTAAAAGGAGATAAATATATATGAGGCGTTAAAGAGAAAGAAAGCGCGGAGATACAGAGTGCAAAAAGTACAAACAGCGCGAACAGATCTATTGTAGATAAACAACTCTTTATGGGCCATCTACAATGGAAGTAATATTGTGCAGTAAACCGTCAGCTGTTAGACGTTGACCAATCACAGATCATTCTCACGTTTGATTGCGATTGGTCGATTTCTTATGCACATTTCTTATACACAATTTACTACACCATGGGTGCTTTCCATTTAATAACATGAGTCTCGACACAAGCATCGTTCTATCCTTGATATTCAGAGAGTGACAAAGATAGAACGACGTTATGTCGAGACTTGTGTCATCAAATGGAAAACACCCCATATTACTCCCATTGTACAAACAACTTTTTAAATATGATGATCTTGAAATACACTGCTCTGTGATTGGCTTGTATCTCAAGACTGTACTTAGGACACAGTCTTAAATATCAAAATTGACTATAAATACCGGTCTTCGTCTTCCTCGATCGCGATACATCGTCGCGTGGGTGGTGTTGCTTTCTAATTGCCGGATATCTCGATCGATCGTTTGTCATTTACACTGGGTTATCGTTTACTATCAACTAATAAAGGACACGTTTTGAAAATATCATCCCGGTACATTTAATTCATTTTTCCGTGAATCATGTGAGGAATGTTGTCCATTTGATGCGGAATGCAATTTTCGCTGATGCAATTTGACGATCAGGGTGCGTTCTATTTGACGCTCACAATGCTCGAGTATTATCCTTAACATTTGATGAACAAGGATGAGTCGTGAGTGTCAAGTGTCAACGCACCCCCGTGATGCAGCAAAATTTCGTCGAATAAAACTGAAATTATGTAATTTAGGACGGAAATAAACGTAGCGAGTGATGACGTTATTTATTATTATTATTATTTTTTTCAAAATGAATGTCTATTTATTGAGTTTAAATTCGCATCGTATTTGATTCGGTTCGTTATTATAGCAAACCATCTGCATTAAGTAACTTGACAATTAAATATTAAAAGTTCTATTTTATTTTCACCATCAGATGAATTAAAATGAAAGCAGCGGTGCTTTTTGAACAAAAATATTTTGTTCAAACAAAAACTGTTCTTTTATTCTCGTTTAATTTAAATATAATACGTTGTAACTAAATTAGAAATTTACAGAAAGTTACGTCCTCTCATAGGAAAAAAAAAATTCATGACCGCGATTAAGTCGGTGTTAGTTATCACTGTTTATTAAAAGTTCTAGTCGATTTTTTGACATATTA